TGTAGACAGCTCGCAGCTTATTCCGGAAAAGCGGCTGATTTTCCAGAATAAGTGGCCCAGTGTAGACACAGCCTCAGTCTCTAGCCCCCTGCTTCACCTCCCAGCTCTGGTGGCTGAATCCCCCACCTCCCCGCTCTGCCTCAAAGCCCCAGCGGCCAAATACCCTGACCCCTTGCTCTGACTGTCCCCCAGTTCCAGTGGCCCCAATCCCCTGACCCTCTGCTCTACCTACTGGTAGCTGTGGCTCCAATCCCCCATCCTCTGCTGTGTCTCCTGGCCCACAGCTCTGGCTGCACAGTGCCACCTTCTGCCTGTTTCCTCACCAGCCTCCCTACCTTGTTCTTGCCCCCATTGTCCTGAGCTCTGCTTCCCCCTCCTCCCCCCAGAGTTGCTGCCCTGCTCCCCAGCAGAGATAGGGGGTGCAGGTGCTCAGGCTGTGTAGGGCACCAGAAGTCCAGGGGTAGCACTTAAAGATAATTTATCTACATTAACCTGCTCTGTCTTGTGTGGGAGTGAACACTCTGTCACACTCCCCCTCCAATGGCCATGTGATACCAGCCTCTCCCATTTCCATGTTCCTTTGTAACTGTGTCCATGTGTCCAGTGAATGTTTTTGGGACCCAAAGGTCACTCTTGTGCCTTTATGCGAATGTTGGTACGAGACAGCAAAGGCAAATATTGCCACTGTTGGAGGGATAGTTTTATTTCAAGATAAGATTCCTCTCCTGCTGCAATCTGGGATTCCAACCTTCTGAAGTAGCAGGCTGTTTTTAGCACTGAGTGGCAGAAGATAAATGACACCGAGTCCCTTGAGACAGCAGCAGATGGATTAAGATTGTCAATATCGTTGGGAAGTTGAGCATAGCTGCGTGCTCTAACTGTTGTGCCTACGCTGGGCCTGAACAGCAGCTGGGTTAAATGCTCTAAGCAAATAACCAAGAAATAATTTCACCTAGAGGAGAAAATGAGGCTCTGAGCATGCCTGGTTAATTGGCTTGTCGTTATGTGTGCTTTGGGATCCTTCAGCACAGCAGGGACTAGTAGACAGGAGTGCATGGGTGTTGATAGAAAATACAGACCTTCTGCTGCAAAGATACTTTTTGCCTTGATTTTTGCAACACTGTCTGGTAGTAGCTAGGACAAAAAATATAACTAGCTTCAATAGGCCTAAACCAATGTTCCCTCTAATCTTCACCATCTATGTGCAGATTTTTTCCATCCTCGTGCAGAATAAATGTTATGTTTATCAAGGCATGTACGAATGTGCACCACCAACAGGAGGTTTACCGATCTTGCAGAAAAAGGGGTTTTTGCGCAAAAAGAAAATGTCCACACGGCTTGTTTTGGCGCAAAAACCCCAGCGCAAAAACGGATCGGTAGAAAATATGCAAATGAGATCATGACTCATGCACATGAGTCCTTCATTAGCATATTTTTTGCCGAGAAAACTCGTAGTGTAGACACAGCCCAGGAGAGAACGGACGCCCTGGACCTGCACAGCTTTCTTTGAAGAGCCGTCAGATGAATCCTACCCCTGTGATGAGCTGGGAACACACTCTGAGCACGCAGACTCCAGCACGTGGGGAACACAGCTCATGTCAGCACAGACTGTAAATCCCTCGGAGTAGGGACCATGCCCCAGAGAGATGAATATTCTTCAGACTGACACTCTAATCATGAGGAAGGAGAGGACAAAGCATGTGAGCCGATGCTTTGCTCCCAGCAAGGAGCAGCAGACCAGGGTTGCAGGCACAACCCATTTCAAAGCCGCCTCTTTGAGGGTTCTTGGGGCTTCATTCAGAACCTTCTGCGGCCACGCCGGCTTTCACTCCCTGGGCTGGGGGTGCCACAGAAATCCCTCGTTCCTGGAACAGCATCACGGATGGCTCCAAGGCTGGGCTTGAGACGGCTGGTGGAATGAGTTAGTGGGCAGTGCTGGGGGTGGCATTCTGAGACAGGCTGCAAGGTCTGTGCCTTGACAAATAATGTGAAACCAGGGAGCAGGAACAAAGTCAGCCAAGAGCAATTTCAGCCCAGCCCGACAAAGCTGGACCAAATGCCCCAGCCTCCTTCAAGGGCAGCCTGCCTGGGCAACCATATGCACAGTTTTTCTGCACTAAGACATGGGAGGTTTGGCTGCGGTTAACCCCTCGTTCACTGGGAACCAGCGCCTATAAAACTTGAGCCCACCAGCACAAAAGGCCCATCCCTTCAAACAAGGAAGAGGCCACAGAGTTCTGGATTCAGCTTGCACTGAGAACCATGAGAAAATAGAGGCAAAGGCAGGGCTTAATTCAGGCCAGGTCTTAGCCCCGGCACTGCTGGGCCTGGCCATTCAGAGCTCTGGCGCCACTGGGTTGGCCGCATCAGTTATGAAAGTAAAAAAAGCTGCTTGACCTCCAGCAGCTAATTGGTTGAGCTCTGGCATCTCTTTCATTACAAACTGGGCAAGAGTTAGGATCACAGAGAGCTGAGAGTGGCACGGAGCAGGGGGCCTCATGCCAGGGCCCTCGGAAAGAGGTGCTGGCAAGCAGGAGAGCTGACAGACTTGCCACCCCCCTGGGCAAGGCAGAGAAGCCAGCTCTGTGCTCCCAGACGGGGCAGGGCTGCAGGCAGAAGGGGTGGGACTGTGACAACCAGCCCTCAGTGCTGCCCAAGTCACGCTGTGCTGTGCGCCCCCGCCAGCCCTCAGTGCGCCTGTAGCATGCTGCCTAGCTCTCCAGCCACATTTGAGTTGCCAGCCCCCAGGGCAGTTGTCCCCTCCCCTGTCAGAGGGCCTGCTGGGAAGGAAAAGGGGGTTGTACAGGGCACACCATTCAAGGTCAGTTCCCAGAGTTCTGTGTTCACAGGTAGCTTTCATCACCAGCCTCCTGGGGACAGAGCACCAAGCTGAGGCCAGGCCAAAGACGCTCTGCAGCTGCTGCGCATTGAGATCAAAGGGAGAGTTTAGTTCCTTGTGTCAGCTCACAGCAGAGAGGCGAGAATAAATCCGCACCGGCTGGTGGGATCTCAGAGCCATTAAGGTCCATGCAGGCTCAGGAATCCAGCTCCCCTCTCCTTCCTCAGTGTTGTTTGTCAGAGGGTCTTCTGACAGTCACCTGGTGAGAGCTTCCTTATGGGGCTGCTCTCAGGAGCCTCTGGTTTCTAGAGCACCCCCTGAGTAGAGGTGACTTGTGGCAGCACTTGGGAAGTGCACCCTCCCCCCGTTCTAATTGCTAAATGGGGTGTCCCCACGTGCTCTCCCTGAGTGACCCGAGCGTGAAGTCAGAGCCAGATCAGCGGGTGCTTGAGTGGACATGGGAATGGCAATGCCTCACTGGGGCTGGCAGGATTGGGCCCGCAGCACAGAGGCACAGGAGCAGCGGCTGATTTATGCTCCTCTCTCCCAAATGTTTGGGCACCAGAACGTTCCCAGATTCGGGGCAGCCCCCTGGAATATTCCCACCCCACCGCTGAGCCTGCACCGCAGAGGCCCTGGAGTTGGCAGAAGCAGCTGATCCCGCTACTGTGGTCCATCAGGCCAGATGGCCTGTTCTGCTCTCTGGTTCTGGAGACAGCAGGCAATGCTTGTGCCTTGCCCAAAAGCAAAAACAAGTTGTCAGCTCCGGTGTTCGTTCCCCTGCCTGAAATCCAAGTGGGTGTCCTCAACTGGCCACACATCATCGAGCAAGGGCAATTGCACTGACAGCTGCAGAAGATCCTACAGAGCCAGGCTTGTGGCTGCTAGGAGAGCTGATTAAAACAGAGACAGTCAGGGAAAGGGAGCTCTGTGTGCCTGGCAGTCAAAGGTAAGCGTGCTAAAGCACCGTGGCACAGGGCTGGCACATGGGACCCCAGAGTAGGAGCTGGCAGGACAGGATTCTTTTTTTTCCTGGCTCTGCATCAACTGGCTGTGTAATCTTGGACTTCACCACTTTGTGACTCCGTTTCCCCTCCTGCCTCTTGTGTGTCTTGCTATTTAGAGTGGACATTCAGGGGCTGCCTCTCACTATGAGTCTGTACATCATCTAGGGACCCTGAGTTCACAAAACATTATAACTAATGTGTGCTGCTGCCCAGCTATTGGCCCTTCCTCTCTGATTTTAGAGGCCTCTGGCTGATAGTTTTTCAGCCTAAGTAAGGACATTTTGCTTAATTAAACTAGCTCCTCAAATCCAGCCAGAAAGGGCCCCAGACTTGCACTCCATGTTGCTCATTTAGGCTGGATCTTCTGGGGAGATCAAGTGGACTGCAAAATGATCACCCAAGGGAAGTTGTAGTGGCCCTTTGAGAAATTGTATATGCAGATTGAACCTCTCTAGTCTGGCATCCTCGGGATCTGGCCAGTGCTGAACCAGAGAATTTGCTGGACCGCAAGAGGTCAATATGGTCTAGCAGCATTACCCACACTCCCGCTGATTCCTGGGCTCTTACAAGACATTTAGGGGTAAATTAGAGCTAACTAACAGCACAGAACACTGAGAGCCAGGACTAGTGGCTGTAAACAAACTTTATGCCACACCCATAAGCTTGGCCACACCCATAAGAAGTGGATACTATCTGGATATGTTAATTGACTTGATTCTCTTCTGGTGTCACCTACTTCTGCTGCAGTGATTCCTCATTACACCAGGGTGAGTGAATCAGATTTGGGCTCAGCCTTTATGGGGAGTAGCGTGGGGCGAATGGCTAATCAGCTGGCTGAGGATATGACCCTTTGATAAGGGCTGCAATTTCTGCCAAAGAATTTCTCTCCCAGCCACACTAGTACTTTTGACAAATGAGCCATTCCTCCCATCTTCTTGAAACAGCACTCTCAATGCCCAAGATGGAAACGGTTCCATATTCTCACACCCGGGGGCCTGGCATTAGCAGTTCCATTCGTTCAGCACACGGCGGAGAGCTGTCTTTCATACTGTGAATACAAGGCTCACTAAAATGACTTTACTGCAAGTTTTGCATGAGTGAATTTATTTTAAAAACATACAATTTTTGCAAGGCAATGAATATGAAACCTAGAAAGAAAGCGTTTGGCATTTCCTCCTGGGCAGGAGTGTCACAGTGGGGGCAGCATTCCCAGCAGTAGCCCTGCATGTTTCTGTAGCAACTGCTGAACAATCTTAACCAGGCTCAGGTGGGATTTGCTGTCATGACTGGCCAAAGGGGCTGAGACACAGCAAGAGCTGCAAACATCTGAAGCTTGGTTTCCCTTTGGCTGGTGTCTTTGTTTTCTGCCCTGATTTTTTTTTCCAGCTTTTGCAAATATTGTACATTTTTGCATTGCATGAATAGAAACCAAAGCCCAGCTTTTCAGAACTTGACCTGTTCCTTTTCTACAAGGCCCGTTTGGTGTCTAACGGGTCATTTGCACATGGACGTGAAATCACAGGACTAGTGGGAGGGGTAAAGGTGCACTCAGGTCTGAAAAGCTGAGCCCTATTCTTGTTCACAAACCCACTCACATCATGGGGAACCGCTAGTTAGAAGAGGCTAAGTAGAGAGCACTGACGGATAAAGGCATATGCAACTTTCACATGACTGTCATGCTGTCACATGCTAATTATATTTATGCAGCAGAAGCTGTTAATGATCATAAACGTAGGAAGCACCTTTCATCTAGTAGGATTCTTGAGTACTATTCAAGCCTCGCTGACTGTTTTACTGCCAATGTACAGCAATCACTTTGCTCACGGTAGGAATGCAGCCACTTCTGGGCAAAAGTGCAGGAACCGTTCGACGATCCATAGCAACACCCACATGATAGTCTAAGGACAGGACATGAAGGATACTTATGTGCAATAGGAACTGCAAGAAAAATTTAGACTTTCCAAGAACGTTGTAATTTTATCAGGATGTTGGGGGCTAACACTCTGTTTCTCTTTCTAAAAAAACCCAAGCTGCCTGCATATCTGCATCCTCTTTAAATGTGAATGAGACAAACTCCCTTGAAAATACACAGCAGGAAGCAGTTTTCCATCAGTGCACTATGTGAAGCACTGGGAAAATCCAACCCCATGGCCTTTGGTTTCCCTGAGGGCAGGATTTCACTGGAGATGGCCAGTGGAAGGCGCCTCCTATCCCTAACCCCTGTGATTCTATTTCCCTGCACTTCATCTGTTTCTACCTTCCTCCAGCCCTCAGCCCCTTCTAAGAGCCATCAGGATGGCACAAGTGATGGCCCTAGATAATTCTGTATAAGTCACTGGTGCATTTACACAGAGCCTGATTCTCTATAGATTGAAAAGTGAACAGGAAGGTGCATCAGCACAGCCAGGAATTGAAGAGAGTCTAGAATACCCAGAATACGGCACACGTTTGGGGCCTGGTGGGCATCCTTAGAACAATGGAGAATGAAGATTTGCTGGCATGGAATGATGGACCGCAATCTGCCTTCAGCTCGGTCAGTGACGTGAGGACCAGGAACCCTCGCTGTCTCCTCATAGGGCAAGGAGCAGCTGCTCCGTCTGTAGCCCCTTGGCTTACTGGTGTCTCTTCTGGACACCTGAAAAGCAAAGCTTGTTTCTGACCACAGTTTTCATTTCTCTGGATAGTATCAGCCCAATGAAGAGAGACCCATTCTTGAGGCAGAGAAGCTTTTGGTGGGTCTGAGACACCCACAAATTTATCTCACGTGTAGCCCCAAACCATAGCCAATATCAGGTTACAGGAGAAGCTTTTGGACTAAGTGTCAAAAGTGCCTCTTTCCTGTTTCCTTCACAGAGTGTAACTCCCTCTCCCTAGGAATGTGAGATTTGCTTTCCTCTTCTATCCTCTGGCCGTTCTTAGCCCTTGATGTTTTAGGCACTATTGGATAAACTCTGTGAACTTGGGCAGGACAAGTACGCAGCACAATTATAGTCCTGGTGAAAGCGCAGCACTTGGACCACAGGCCTGACTTTTATTCCCTGCTCTGCCACTAATTGACTGTGTGGCCTTGGGCAAGTCTCTCAACCTGTCTGTGCCTCAGTTTCCCGATATGCAAAATGTGGATTATCCTTTTCTTTCTTGTATGAAGCTCAAATTATTTAATATTTTAAGTGGTTTGTGCCCTCTGAATGACAGATTCTGCGACATATGTGTAAAGCATTAGTACCGCTGAAAAGGCCACACAAAGCTAAGAAAAGATAGCAGTATTCCATTGCTCAGAGAGTGCATTCTAAGAATAGCAATTTCTGTATCTTCAGAGAATAATCCATGAGAAAGAGATAAGAATCAGATTACAGAATATAGAAGACAAGTAATTTATCGTGAGCTGTGGAAAGAATACAGAGCAACATGTGATCACAGTAGCGCGGTGTATGTGAAATGAAATTTGCCAAGATCTCACTAGAGAGAAAATAATTTACCATACTAGTTAAGTGCCTTAATGGTCTAGTGCCACTCCCCTGCAGTGCTGCTGAATGGATTGAGGAGCAGGGTAGTTTTGTTAATTAACTAATGATACTGAAAAATTGATGTAGAAAATCACTGTTAGGAATAGCTCATTAAATGTGACCAGGAAGGCATCTTGCTGTAATCACTACATGAGGGAGCTTGGGTTTGATCCCACCTCTGCTACTGACTCTCTGTGTGACCTGGAGTGTGTCTCTTGACATCTTTGTTTCTTGGCTGACCCTTTTGCAGATAGATATAACAATTCTTCCCCCCATCACAGGACTGTAGGGAGGCTAACTCACTTGCTGACTTCAAAGCAATGGGAGCGCCTGTGATGAAAGGAGCTATGTGAGGAGCATCATGATTTCAGTGGTTAGCAAAACAGTGTGAGAGCATAGAAGGTTGGATTCTGAGCAGCACAGTGCAGTGGCCTTGCGATGGTTCTGTGCTGGTCTCAAAGTATTTCAGAGTTGCTCAAAATTAGTCTGGGTTCTAGGCACTGCATCTCTCAACCAGGGATTCCTGAAGAACATTGCATTCCGGCCCTGCCTCCATCATGGTGAGGCTGTGTAAAAGCTGCTATCCCTGCTCTGTGCCAACCGTGCCCTTCGCATGAGGGTTTCAAAGTGGAGAGAGAAAGTAACCTCTTTCTGACTTGTTCTATGGCCAATTACAATGTGGTCTAATGGCAGCTGGGGGGTGGGGGTTGTTATGGTTTTCTTGTTCTGCCAGGTGACTTTTGCAGGGTTGCCAACAATTTCACAATATTTGGGGTTTTTCTTAGAGCTCCAGCTCCCAGATTCCTGGAATCTCACTTTTCATTTATTTATTAGAGATGGTGATGAAGAAAAGCTTGCAACTCCCATGGAGGCTCAGCAACCAAAGGGAAGTAGAAAGTACTCCCAACTTTATTTAAATTTCATGATTTTTTTTAAAGCCAATCTCCTGGATTTCTGTGAACTGACTCAGGACTTTTGAACAATTGGCACTGGCAATTCTGCTCATGCATTTCTTATTGGTCGCTAGTGTCCTATGTGCCTCCACGTGAAACTGACTGGAGCAACTGTTACCAATGTTCCCTCTAATTTTTTCATCCAGGCGCACAAAAAAAGTATGTGCATTGTAGCATTTGCAGATGTGCACCACCGCTCTGCTAATCAGCTGGGTGGCACCTGAATCTCTCCTGGGTGGCTTCCCAAGTGCACTGCTATTATCCAGTCTCTGGCTCTGACAGTCCTGCATTTCTTAGTATTAAACAAAAGTAAATACTTAGAGATCCTGAGATAAATATCCTATCAACAATGCTTTGCCTTTCTAGGGCCCCTTTCATCAGAGGACCTAAAATATCTTTAGAAACCTTAGTCATAGTCAGGTTTTCATAGAGGCTAAACTATTTTACAGATGAGGAAACTGAGGCACAGAGAGGTAATACGAGTTACCCAAAGTGATGCAAAAACTGCACGGGATCCAATGCTGTGAATGATGCCTCCCAGCCCTGAGCATTACGTTAAAGTAATGGAGTCAGAGAAGGGGGGCAGAAACTTGCAATCTTATTTTAATCATGTTTGTCAAATTTATTCGGTCAAAGAGCCATTTTCATATTTTATGGGATTTTTTCTTTAAACATCTGATCAGCTGATTATTATTAGTTTGTACTGTGAGCCATTTTCTTAATGTCTGAGCTGCTCTGTCTTTCCAATAGATGGGAAAAATCTGTTGATTTAAGGCCAAATTTTGCCACCCATATTCACACTCAGTAAACCCTTACTCTGTGCATAACCCCCTTGAAATCAGTATAGCCAGCTGGGTTAGTAAGGCACAGTTCTGGCTTTTAGAATCTGGACCATTGCTGCTATCATAGGCAGGGGTACAAGGGGGTTCTGACTGAAGCACCCCCACATTTTGTGCCCAGCATCTCCATCACTGGTCCTGCACCAGGATCCCAGCCTATGCCTAGGGGCCCCTCTGCCACCCAGGGTCCTGGCTACTGACTGTGGAGGCTCTCCTGTAGGCATCGTAGTCCTGACAGCCAGGCCAGGGCCTACAGTCCAGCACCTGGGGCTCTGCAGGAGTGGGGCAGTGATGGGCATGGACAGTGGTGGTGGAGGCTGCATCTCCAATTCCATTGGCTGTTAAGAAATATGTATAATCTTCTCCCCCTGCCCTGCGATGGAGTGTAAATCCCACAGCAGTACTGAGAAGATTAACAGGAGCCTGTGGACTTGATTAGTCTGCTTGCTGCCACCTGTAGCCCCTGCCATAAGTATGTCAATTAACAGATACACCTGAAAAAGTCAGGTGTTCCTTAAAGGGACTGAGAGTGCAATGAGAGAGAAGGCTGGGGGCTTCTGTTTTTTGGAACTGGCTTGGTGGAAAATAAGGGAGACAGGATAGGAGGGAGTTAGTTCATTCCTAGGGAGTATTTCAAAATAGGGACATGACTCCAAGGGTAGCACGCTGGAGAGCTGGTGTTCAGCTAAGGCGAAGCAGGGAGGACTTGAGAAGGATTGAAGCTCACACCCAGTGGGGGTGCAGGTGGTTTAAATCTATAGGGTTGATTTGGGATTGTTTAGAGAATTCAGAGGGGGAATCCTGCCAACCTTGGCCGGATGGGTGAAGCTTGACCCCTTGGGGTGGGCATGAGGAATGTTGCTACATAAGGCCAAGGAAGGGCTGTAGAGGAGGCTTGTAGATGGCTGAGCTAGGGGTAGGAAAGAGCCCAAGAAGACAGACCTTGCTTGCTTTGTACCGGGTCCCTGGCTTGGAACCTAGAAGAAAGGGAGAGTCTGTGGTACCCTACCAACCACTGGAAAAGGTGGTTGAAGACCCCAGAGACTGGGGATGGCAAACTTGGGCCAAAGACTCAGCTTGAAGTCCTGCCATTGTTTGTGAGACCTGCAGCTCTCCTTGAAGAGGCGAAGAGCAGTCTGGCTGGAGGGCTGAGGCACAAGATGAGCCAGACCACAAGAGGGCCAGAGCTATTGTCAGCAGGGATCGCCAGGCCATGCTCAGTCGTGAGGTGGTGCTCCAGCGGTGAGTTTACTCTTCTACAGCTCTGTTCTTCTCTTATTTATTTTTTTATCTCTCAGCCTGAACCTATTATCACTTTCCCCCTGTATTTAGGGTAGAAATTTTTCTTAGCCAGTAGCTTCTTTCAAAATGCATTGACTTCCATGCATCCAGACTCTCTATGAGTCGCTTGACTGGCTGCTCCCTTTCCATTGTGTACTATTTTCTCTCACTCCTCATTTGTTTAGCATTCTTGGTGGCCAAGAGAGTTTCTACAGGATCTTAGAAACATTCTGCATGTTATACAGCAAGGCAGCTAGTGTTCCATGTGTTAAGGATGTTGTGTTCATATTTTTTTTTTATGGTCCGAGAAATGTAATTTCAATAGCCAACTCTATAGGAGAGCTATCGGGCATCTCTTTGTGTATTCCATGTACCCATTCTTTGTCCAGTCTGGGTCATCTTGCACACAGTAACTCTGCAGTTGTACATATTGATCTATATTTAATACTTAGATGTAATACTTAGATGTTTTTGTATCTGCTCAACATAGCAGCCTTTTTTCTGTCACTGAAGGATATTCTTGTTTTGTGATTCCCTTAAATATCCAAATGCTTCAGTAAATTGCTTTACTTTCCTAGCAGGGCTTGTGCAGGAGTGTTCTGTGCACACACACTTGAATAAATATATATATATATTGTGCCTACTTGGTCAGTGTTGCCACTGGAGGGTGTGTTCTGAGATCAGGAAGCAATTCAAGCTGTCCAGATTGAGTGTATTGGAGTCTCACTTCCATCTTCTGCCTAATAAATTGCCCTGTGTCCGGGTTCAGCACGTAATCATGAATTTTTCCATCCTCTTCAATGGATTTTGGATCAAGTCATTTGATAAGCTCTCTGAGGTCCTTTACCCTGGTTCCTTCCCCTAGCAATGTATTGCCTCCATGTTTGAATTGCACCTGAAATCTAAATGGACAACAAAGCCCGGTCTTGCATTGCTGCAAGTCCACCTAAATGGATGTCGTGCACTTGCAGTCTTGCTGCTCACACTGCGGAGAGCAGCACATGAAACCTGTATTAGCTGAAGGGGATCATCTTAGCCCCAAATTCTTAGGTGTGGGATACTGTTTTGTTTTATATTCATGGTAGTGGGTTGCATTAATGTGAGAAGATTGGGTACTACGGCATAAGCACCAGGTGTCTCTTGAGACGTAACATAACATTGAGGGCTCTTTGGAGTCGACATTTGCAGAGTGCCTTGTCGTCTTAATCTTTGCAAGCCCCTGTGAGGTAGATGAGTGGGAAAACTGACATGATTAAATGACTGGGCTGCAAAAGGCTACTGTAGTCTGTTGTAGCTGGGATCAGGACTTCTTGCACTCCACCCTGCATGCTAGATAATGCTTCTCAAGAGAATAAAGGTCATACTTGGCCATCAAAGCACCAGAATATGGAAAAGGGGCCCTGAGGAGCCTGTTGCTATAGAAACATCATCATTGTCATACACAGAGGGCCAGGCTCCCAGGCACCACTGTCCATGTTTGTAGGGACAATCTATGGGCCCAGAATTGCAACAGTAAAAATGGAAGGCTGGTGTATGGTTTTTCTGAATCCCATAAAGGGCATTTTGCAGGTCAGGGCCCATCTGCCACATAAACAGATTATTTTTTAAAATATATGGAGCTAAAATATTCCCTGATGTCTAGAATGTGGGAGGCCTCATCCTGCTTGGGAGACCCTGGCCTCCCGAGATGCTCAGATAAGATCTTTCACAATGTCTGACGGCAGAATGGATCCTGCCATGCTTGTGGTCCCCATTCCCGATTTCTTCCTTGTCACTAGCACCATGACCGGCATGTTCCTCTTCAGAGCTGGCTGGCAGGCAGGCCCATCTGCCAGGGACTTGGGCCTGGCTGTTGGGGCAGGCTGCTGGGTGAGCTTATAGCACCTAGGATAGTTACTAAAACATTCGAAAGTGTCGTTGCAGTTCCTGCAAGGCCCGGGGGAGTCGGGGAAGGCTGTGGAGAGCCTGGCAGAGGTTCTGGCCTCTCTGGTCTGGAAAGACTGGAGCGGGATGACACTGTGGTGGCTGCAGCAGAGGATGGCGCAGATGGCCTGCAGGAGGGACAGCTCTTTGGAGAGGAACTTCTGGAAGTTGGGTTTGAAGAGCAGGTAGACCAGAGGGTTGTAGGTGGTGGAGGACTTGGCGAAAACGGCAGAGAGGGCAAAGGCCAGAGCTGGAACTTGGCTGGCATCTCCAAAGGCTGCCCACATGGCGACAATTGCATATGGGGTCCAGGCGGCCAGAAATCCAATGCACACAGCTACGCTAAGCTGGAAGAGAAAAGGAAATGACAATGGTAGAGAACACAGTATCCCCAACCCTCCTGCAGTGTACACCAGACAGGCCTATGCTCAGAATCGCATGTATAAGCATCCCTAAGTGAGGAGAGGATGGGGGAGGGTTATACATCGACCTTAACCCCAAATCATTTAGCCATGGCCCCTAGTGGCCAGAGCCAGCTCTCTGGCTCAAACTTCTCCTCAGCAACCCAGCTGCAGCAATGCATCTAAGGAAGGAAATGATACCCTGGACATGAACAGGTGGTGGGTCTCTGTCTGTCAATACTCCCTCCCAGTCACCAACAGACCACAAAAACTTCTAATAGGGATGGAGTCAGGAGACCTAAATGCAGGAAATAGCTCCTGAGAGAGGCCTGTTGAAATGAAACCAGGTGTGAGCGTAAGCACTCCTGTCTGCCCTCTCTTGCTCTGAGGTTTTAACCCTGCCTACATGTTGAAGGACCCAGAGGTTATCAGCAGGTGGGATTGAACTTGGGACCTTGGGGGGCTAAAGCCTTGCTGTAGAGCAGACGTCACACTCCTGCTCACTGGTCTTGTGCCTCTGGGTTACATGGGGTGGATGTCCAAGGGAGTGGTGTATTGAATGCAGTCTGAGAGCCCTACTCACCTGTTTCTTTAAATAGCTATGCTCTAGAACAGGGCTTTTCAAACTCTGCGTGGTGGCTTGGAAGGGCAGGCCGCTAGCCAGGGTAAGCTGCTAGCCAGCTGTGAAATGCTTTGTTTACCTGTGCCTCCGCCAGTACGGGTGATCACAGCTCCTGGGGGCTGCACATCCCTGTTCCTGGCCCGTGAGAGCTGTGGGAAGCTGCGTCCTGGTCCACATCAGCTCCCAGGGCTGGGAACAGTTATCTGAAGCCCATGGGGAATGCGATTGCCTGTACCTGCCGAGGGGCAGGTAAACACAGCATCTTGTGGCCAGCTAGCATCTTGCCCTTACATGCCATGGTCCAGTGTTTGAAAACTCCTGATCTAAAAAGCAGCATGCTGCTTGGACAAGCAGGAAGGTGCAGTATGTAAATGGCTACCCTGCCACCCGGCAACCTAACCAACACAGGCCAAGCAAGGCAGCATGTTTCAGCTCAGTCATATTAGACCTTCAATGGCATTAACCATATTGTTTTGTTCTACATAGTGCAGGACACTTGGTGGGGAAAGGGTAAGAATCCTGAAGCTTTCCTTAGCGTGAGGAGATGTGAAAGAGCACAAGTGGGCTGAACATAAGCTCTTTGGGACAGAAGAATTCTTGTATTAGTCACACCAAGAAGCCCTAAGTCAGCTCTGTGCTTCAACGTGCACAGTGAGAGACAGCTCCTGTCCCAAAGAACATACGTTCTACAGAGAAAGCGGAGGGGTGGGGGTATTCTCATTCCCATTTTACAGATGAAGAACAAAGGCACAAAAGAAGTTAACTCAGAGCCCTGCCATTACGTGCTGGCCCAGTTGCTTCCTCACAAGTTCACTCTTCTTCCAATACCAAACATATGTTTGAGTTTGTTAGAAAATCTAATTTTTTCCTTTAAAAAGGGCATCAATCTCTTGGCAGACTTCCCCTCCCTCCCCCCAGCCCCTGGTAAATTACAGTATTAGCATGTAGACTGGGGAATAGTGAGTCATGAAGGCAGCCCTTTTTTTTTATTATTTCCAATGTAATTTAATAGAGGAAAACAAAGCCATCAGATGACTTTAAAGGAGGTAGGCAAGGGCTGTATTAGCACCATGCACATACACACCTAGAATATTAATTGGGCTTGGCAAACACTTTTCCTTTCCAGAAGCTTTCAAAGAGTCTCATTAGTTTAGGGGCACAGAAATATGGACTCCCTCAAATGTTTGACTCGGAGCTCCAAACAAATTGTTGTTTCAGTGAGCAAGAGCCTAGCATGTCTGAAGATGGCCTCCAGGAAGCTGCCTCCATCTGTCACTAGTGAAGGTGGCTTTGCCTTTCTGGCTCCAAACTGCTCCATAATAAAAGGAGAATGTTTGCCAGCAAATCAAGGCAGCTCTGGGAACAGTCTGAGATGCTGCTGTCACTAGAGAGTCAGGAGATGCTCAGATTTTGAGATGCAAAGGGACGGAAGAGAATCACATTTTCAGCCTTCACTTCCCTTTTGTTTTAAGGTTTTGTGCCTGGGGAATGTGGGGGAGGGAAGGAATAGTTTCAGACAAGATTTGTTGCTGATCGAATGAGAATTTCTTTCAGTCGATGAGCCTGTGTGTTTCATTCATATGTCACTATGCAGGGAAATGGCAACCTCCATCTTTTCCCTTCCCACTTTCATGTTGTCATTTATTATCTACACTTTCCCAATCCTCCACCATGTGTCTTGACTGCCATTGTGCCTAAGGAGGATTTGAAGAGTAGTGTCTGTTTCTTCTTTGAAAGAAGAGAAGGGGGAGAGCTAGGAAATTTCGAGCAAGGATTCGGATCAAATTTTGGCTGACATCTAGATGGTATAGCATCTGGCTTTTGGTTCAGACCTATTTCTAGTGCAGAGCAAGTGGTTTCAGAATTTAGTCTTCTGATGAGTTTGTCTGGATATGCCAGATCTTCATAGATTCAGCAGCTACAGGCATAGTGCTGTGTGTGTTACCTGGTTTGATTGAACAGTGGCAGTAAACTGAGCATTGAATGTTGCGAAGTGTCCATGTGAATGCATATATTTGCATGCCTAGCTTGTTTGAAAATCTAACCCTCAAGTCTTGGAGTATTTGAGGCATCTTGGCTACTAGTTACTCAGGAAAGGTAATGAAACCTGATACTTCTGGCGTCAGCTGATCCCTGCTGGGGTTAGAAAGGAATGGCCTAACATGATCCCTCCCCCCAGCCCCTGGTAAATTACAGTATTAGCATGTAGACTGGGGAATAGTGAGTCATGAAGGCAGCCCTTTTTTTTTATTATTTCCAATGTAATTTAATAGAGGAAAACAAAGCCATCAGATGACTTTAAAGGAGGTAGGCAAGGGCTGTATTAGCACCATGCACATACACACCTAGAATATTAATTGGGCTTGGCAAACACTTTTCCTTTCCAGAAGCTTTCAAAGAGTCTCATTAGTTTAGGGGCACAGAAATATGGACTCCCTCAAATGTTTGACTCGGAGCTCCAAACAAATTGTTGTTTCAGTGAGCAAGAGCCTAGCATGTCTGAAGATGGCCTCCAGGAAGCTGCCTCCATCTGTCACTAGTGAAGGTGGCTTTGCCTTTCTGGCTCCAAACTGCTCCATAATAAAAGGAGAATGTTTGCCAGCAAATCAAGGCAGCTCTGGGAACAGTCTGAGATGCTGCTGTCACTAGAGAGTCAGGAGATGCTCAGATTTTGAGATGCAAAGGGACGGAAGAGAATCACATTTTCAGCCTTCACTTCCCTTTTGTTTTAAGGTTTTGTGCCTGGGGAATGTGGGGGAGGGAAGGAATAGTTTCAGACAAGATTTGTTGCTGATCGAATGAGAATTTCTTTCAGTCGATGAGCCTGTGTGTTTCATTCATATGTCACTATGCAGGGAAATGGCAACCTCCATCTTTTCCCTTCCCACTTTCATGTTGTCATTTATTATCTACACTTTCCCAATCCTCCACCATGTGTCTTGACTGCCATTGTGCCTAAGGAGGATTTGAAGAGTAGTGTCTGTTTCTTCTTTGAAAGAAGAGAAGGGGGAGAGCTAGGAAATTTCGAGCAAGGATTCGGATCAAATTTTGGCTGACATCTAGATGGTATAGCATCTGGCTTTTGGTTCAGACCTATTTCTAGTGCAGAGCAAGTGGTTTCAGAATTTAGTCTTCTGATGAGTTTGTCTGGATATGCCAGATCTTCATAGATTCAGCAGCTACAGGCATAGTGCTGTGTGTGTTACCTGGTTTGATTGAACAGTGGCAGTAAACTGAGCATTGAATGTTGCGAAGTGTCCATGTGAATGCATATATTTGCATGCCTAGCTTGTTTGAAAATCTAACCCTCAAGTCTTGGAGTATTTGAGGCATCTTGGCTACTAGTTACTCAGGAAAGGTAATGAAACCTGATACTTCTGGCGTCAGCTGATCCCTGCTGGGGTTAGAAAGGAATGGCCTAACATGATCAATTGGCCAGCAGCATGGAGGAAAGGAGGGCACACTGCTCTGGTGCTCAACCTATTTACCACTGTGGACTGCACACCCAGCTCTGTTATGTGGGCCGCTCCACGCAGTGTCTATCCTACCTGTATGGCCCTGAAGGTTGCATGAGCACAGCTATGCGCTGATTGGGCCCCAGGTTGGGAATCACTACTCTAAAGCATGAGGTGCTGGACTTGCAGTACTAGTGACGTGCTGCAGTAAAGCAAATCGTGTTGAATGCTACATACTGCATCGTCTTCAACCAATGACCTGGACAGGCATTCCAGCTGCACTAGAGGGTCACAGCAGTGAGAGATCACAGAGTCCGGTCCCCTGCAAGCTCTTCCAGCCCCTACAAGAGGTGTATCAATAGGGCCCTACCAAATCCACGGCTGTGAACAACGTCGTGGACTGTGAAACTTGGTATCACCCTACGAAATCTGCTGTCTTGTGTGCCATACAGTTTTCACAGGCAAGACCAGCATTTCTCAAATTGGGGCTCTTGGTCTAAAGGGGAGTTCTGGGGGCGGGGGGGTTGTCCTAAGATTATTTTAGGAAGAGGTGGAAGTAACTTCAATTGCTTACCAGTACAGCCGTAGCACCATTCTCCTATACACTTAACTTTGTGGCTTCCTCCGTGTGCCTTTGGTACAGAAATTAAAGCTACTCCTGCCAGTGCTCTAGAATTAAACTTTTAATATTGGAATAAAAGCCCGAACTCACTGTCACAATTCTCTCCTCTCCTCCAGCTTAAGGGATTCCCTATGGAAAGCAGATAGCATAGGGCGGAGGTGGAGAGAACCACATTCAAGAGAAATGTGGAAGGAGGGAGCCAACCCCACTAAGCCCAGGTGCAAGAGAAGACCCCGCAGGCTCTGAGCCCCATTCCACAGCATGGGATCCTGCACCAGTCCTCCCCACTCCCACCCTTTCCAATCATGGCCAAAGCAATGGGCTCCACCACCCCGAGCTCTCCCCTCCCCCCACCTTCATGCAGCAGCAGCCATGGTTCCTCTCCAGCATGCGGCAAGGAGGAGGGGGGTTGGCAGGTGGAGAAGCCCAGCACTTCCAGGAATATTTCCAGCCTCAGCAGCTGCTGTGTTGCCAGGCTGCAGGAGCTGTCTGGGAGGGAGGAGTTGGTGGTCTGGGGGTGGCAGCAGCACACACAGCAATGAGGGAGCTGCAGCTCCAGAGGGAGCCCACAGCAAAGCTACCCCGGCCCCTCCCCATCAGCAGCTTGGTCCTGGCTGGAGGGTATGAGCCCAGGCATCCCGGAGAGGAAGCAACAAGAGGTGAAAATAAGCCAGTAGTGAATGCTTTGGCCAGTTTTCTTACTGGTTCGCTGTACTAGCTGGTACCAGCTCATTTTAACCTCTGGTTTTTAGGGGAGGGGATTTCCAGTATCTCACCCTTACTTATGTGCTGCCTTAAGAGTTGGGCAACCAGAGAGTATCATCCCCATTTTACAGGTAGGAAAACGGAGGCACAGAAAGGGGATTGTCCTGGCCTCATGGGGTCCAGCATCCCAGTCTGCACTGTATCCCCTTAGTAATGCTTTCCCCACCTGGGGTGAGCGCCCCTGCAAAGCCCCTATGCTGTCTCTGCTGCTCGCCCACCCGCTTGCCCTACCTTTACAATCAAGCTGTGCACGCTGTTGGCTTTGCTCTGCGGTGACATGTGCTGCTTCACGGCTCTTCGGGCCACTTTCACAGTCCACAGGATGAGTGAGTAGGAGAAGAGGATCAGGAGGCAGGGGAAGAGGTAACAGAAGACGAAGAGCGCCACGATGTAGATCACTGCCTCCCTGGTCGTAGCTTTCCACTTCAGGCAACAAGCTGTCCCGTAGGGCTCTGGGCCATAACTGCCCCAGTTGGCCAGAGGAGCTACGGCAAAGACAAGGGCGTACGCCCAGACACACAGTAGCAGGACTCCAGCATGGGTGGGGGAGAACTTATTGCCTGCAAGAGAGAAATGGCAGCTGTTGGCAGGCATTCGAAGACCAGGGCTGAGGCTGACCTCTCTGCGTTCTGGTGGGTTGGCTTTCCGAAAAGGCCTGGAATCTGGAGCCATTTCTCTGAGCCAGCCCAACACGCAGGACATTGATCTAGAATAGGCCCTACCCACGAACCACCCCTCTCCCTGGGCATTTCTGGCAGAGCAGACTTAGAAAAGGGGTGAGTCCTCCTTGTAAAGATAGTGAAACTGGGGCACAGCCAGGCGACTTGCCTGTCACCTTGGGCAGGAGGCAGAGCTAAGACCAGAACTTATCTTCTACTCCTCCACTCAAAGCATGTCTGCGGGTACATGCTGCTTTCCCTGCTGGTAGCAAAGGCTCTTATGGAGGAGATTTAATTTTTAATTTTTTTTTTTTTTTTTTTTTTTTTTTTTTGTACAAACCAAACTACCCTTAGCAGAGGCTCCTTCCCCTCCCCCACTGCTCTTAGCTCAGTCAGTAGCATTTCTTGAAGAACTGTTGCTCTCTGCTTTCGTTTTCTGAGGTACTCTGGGAGAGAGGGTTGGCAACTACTCCACCAAAGGCTTTAGACAAAGCTTTGCACTCTGGACCTTTAAATGTCCATGGGCTCAGGACCGTGTTTTCAAAGGGCCTCTGGCAATGCGGTGTTTAATGCACAGTAAATAGTGTGCACTTCTGTGCATGGAACTGGATTTACACACATCCGCTGCTCCACCTGCAAATACTTTCAGAAGCCCTTTGAGCCTGTGTCCCTTATTGTCCATGCTGATGGAAAGCTCCAGCCCCAAGCAGTAGGGCTTCTTGATATGTGCCACTCATGTCCATTTGTCTAGATATTAGTCACAGGATGGAGAATAGCAGATTAGGTCCCCCACTCTAGCAAGGCTGGCTGTAACAAGGAAACTGTGCACTATGGCAGACCAAAGGCAGCAGGCTGCAGGAGTTTGGTGGAGGGCCCCGTCATGAGAACTACATGCACAGGTACACCAGTCTGTCCCTCTGGGTTCTGAGCATGAGACTGACTCTGGCCTTCTCCAGTAAGGGTCACTTCCAAGACCCTGAGGAAAGCAGCTGTGGAGGGACTGGAAGGTCATTGTTACAGGAAGGGGCTCTGTGAAGTATCCCAGGACGATCCCAGGCAAGGCTTTGGAGCTTAACTCTGAGACCTTGAATTCGATGCAGAGTTCCACCGGGATCCAGAGTGGTAACTCCTGGTGGCTGGTGTTGCTGAGAAGAAGGCTGCTGTGCTCTGGAGTTGGTAAAGGCTTCAAGCTTTCCTGATGTCCAAGCCCTCGTCTCTAGATGAAGCCTGTGGCCAGCACCCAGCCTGGAGGGCCAGAGGGCTTCGGTCTCTGCAACCAGGCCTCTTGCTGAGAGCAGGTGCAGTTCTCTGGCTGCTCACATGTGAACGAGAGCGCTGTGTGTGTGGTCATCCTATGGTGCGCACTTCTCAGCAGCCCGCCGCCCCGGAGCGCTGATGTAACAGTCTTCAGCAGACCCCTTTGAGCCAGGGCAAGGTGAAGGTGGTAGATAGGTGTCTACAATGTTTCCGTCCTCTGTGTTATGCTTGGTTCTTGTCCCACCAGGCGGAAGGCAATGGAGCTATTTACAATGATGCACAGATGACATCCTCTCTGTGTTTTGGCATTAGCGGCTATGGCATTTCATAGTTTCCCACAATGCCTCCAAAGAGCTGGAGAAGGGGGTCTGAGTTTTGTGGGACTCCACAGGAACTCAGTCTGAACGGGGAGGAAGATTTGCCTACCACCATTCTCTCTAAGCGTCCCACAAGGTAGGACGAGAGCTGTTCCACAGCAGTCCTATCAACTTCTGGTACAAATCAGGAGGCCTTCTGGAAATGTAGGCTTGAAGTCATTACAGTTTGCAGGCACATGATCCTAGCTCCAGTGGGTTAAAGTTACCCCTGGTGTAACTCCACATGGGAGAGAACAATAAGCTGTTAGTAGCTGGTTGTTGCGGAGTGAATCTTCCAGGGAGAGGAGCTGAGATGCTGATTGTTACGGGAAGCTCTAGGAGCGTAACACACTCTGGCCTAAGGCCTTGCTGCCTGCCATTCACCACTCTGCCTTGCGTCCAGCCAGGAGCATGTCTCCATGGACACCGTGCACAGTACGCTTTAGCTCAGGAGCACCGATCAGCCACGGCACTGCAGAGAGCTGCCTGGTGGAGAACCGCAATCGGCAATGAGCGGAGGACCTCAGACTTGAACAAATACTAACCAGGGAAGCATCACCAAGCTCTGGGCAGCAGGCCCACTGATAGGGGTGAGGAACAAAGGGGACAACTGCTCCTGGGCCCAGCAATAGAGAAGGTCCTGGAGATGCTGACCACCACCACTAGTGCAGCAGCGGCGGCTGGAGCCCCAGGCCTTAAATCACTGCTGGAGTGCTGTGGGGAGCAGGGAGCATGGTGCTGAGAGCTGCCTTGCTCCAACCCCGTCCTTTCCACTTGAGGCCCCTCCCCTTCTGGGGCACAGAGCATGCCCTTCCCCACCTTGACCAGGGGCCCAGCGAGCCTGTGGGTCTCACTGCTGGGCGGGGCAATACAGCAGGGCTGAATTTTGTTTTGAAAGAGGTGCTGGGGCCTGAGCACCTTTTTAAGGTTCATAACTGATGCGCCAAGCACAGAGGTGCCGGGACTATGACCTGCCAAGCTTAGAAGTGCTGGGGCTGAGCCCTGTCCTAAATTAAGCCCTGCAGTGTAATGTGCTCTTAGTCTCATCTGACAGGCTGGAAAAATGAGGCCCAGGAGGAAAGAGGAATGATGTGCCCCAGTTAGTGGGTAAAACCCTGACTGGCTAACAGGTAGAAAGCCTGGCCTTCCTCTTCCACAGAATGGGTGGCCTATAGCATTCATGGTGAAATACTTCACTTTCTCCTGGTTATGTAACAGGAGACATACCCCAGTGAGATCTATTAGTCTCACATGCGAGACCTGGTGAGCATTGCCAGTCAATCAGCATTTATATTATTAAACCTGGACCAAGCACTTATACTTTGTAATAGTCCCTTTCCCCCATTCCTTGCCTTCTAGGGCTTACCTACCCAGGGAAAGGAGGTGGAGTTTACTATGCACGAATTTGGGGTGGAGTTCATTGAAATGGCCTGTGTACATATAGCCCACATACTGAGTGGGTATGGTTCAGTGTCCCATGGAGTGGCCCTTAGCCCGCTTACAGGAAGAGATGAGAATGAATGAGCTCTACAGCCATTTTCCTTGACACAAATAAGGATTTGGAGGAGGTGCCTTGGGGGATTTGCATCTGGAAACGTAGAGATCAGAACTTTTATGTAAATTTAAATCAACAGCCTTATCAGAGTTTTCTTCAGAAAACCCAGTCAATGAAACACGAGTTGGCTTTTTCTCTGTTCCCTCTCCCTCGCCTAAATCCTAAACTCTCTCATCTTCTAAGGGCTTAATTTTAAAGAGCCCAATCTTCAGACATATGTTGAGAAAACTTTTCTTTGAAATGAAGCAATTAAAAATATGCTGAGATTAGTCATTTCCTAGTGGAAAATGCACAAGTGCATTACAGAAAAAGATAAGCTTGAGAAGCCACATAACCAAGTGCAGTAATAATCTAGAGAGCAGAAACAGAAATTGCAGAGGGAAAAGATGTCTGCCTTTTAATGGCCAAATTTAATCTCTCTTTTTTCACCATCTTTTGTGATCAATTTCTGCAGCTATAAAAGTGATCCCATAAGCTTTGTGCTGGCTGCTTAACTGAGGCGATTTCCTTCCAGTGCTGTCTCTCTGCATGGGATTGTTTGCCTCTATAGAACATCTGCTTTGTGTCCCTCCCCCGTCATGCATCTGTTAAAGTTTGCAAGCAAGTCAGTGTCTCCCTGCAGACAGGCAGTTGAGTGTGCAGGTACCAGCCTAGCTGTGGTGAAGGAGGGAGCTACATTGTGCAGTATGGAGGCCCAATCCTGACATGAATTAATGAGAACTCAACGGAAAGTTTGGCTCTGACTTGCATCAAGTAATGCGTTAAGTAACAGTGGCACTTCGCTAGTGTCCTTCATTTCTTCCAAAGTACTTTACATACAAACGATTAATCATTGCAAATCCCCAAATAGCAGGTCACTATTTATTATCTCCATTATACAGCTGGCAGAAACACAAACAATCAAATTACTGCTGCCAGTGTACCATGGGGAGACATTGGCAGAAATGGAACTAGAATCCACGCGTCCCTACTCTAGTTCTCGAGAGTCACTTTCTGCTACCACTAAGGGCTAGCTCTCCAAAGAGACCAAAAACGTGCCTCCTGGCGAGTGAATAGGCATTTGGCACACACGTATTGTGTGTTTCTGCAGTCAGTATTTCTGTGCATCTGGGATCTGGCCCCTGGGGGAGGGGTGTGAAAGTGTGAGGCTGCCAGTGCCTTGTGCCTCTCAAATCGAAGAATGTGACCACTCGTGGCACTTGCCAAACAAAGTTCACTGGGAAACTTTGTGTGTTAATTTTAAAGCTGGCAGGAAAATTTCTTCTCTCCTTTTGGTTCTGTTTCCTCCCACTGTTGCTGGGATGGGGAGAGTATGGGGGGGGGGAGGAAGAGAAGTATTGAGACTAGGGGTGTAAATGGTTACCTGGTAAGCCTCACCCTTAATGGATGAGGTTTGCCAACTTGGGTTAACCAGTAAGGGCTGGAGCAGCTCCCTGCCAACCCTGGGCAAAGGGCTGCTCCAGCCCCATGGTGTCCTCTGTAGGCTGGGGCTGCTCCAGAAAAATGGCCAGAGCAGCCCCTGTCCATGGAGAGCCCACCCAGCTCTCTTACCTCAGGCCACACACTGGCTTCCAGAGAGGCTTCGCTGGAGGCTCTGCAGGATAAAGCTTATTTAAGCTTGAGTCCACAGCACGTGGTTTTTAGTGGTTACCCAGTTACATTTTTAAATGACTTTTTACATCCCTAATTGAGAAGGGACGTGCCTGATAGAACAGAGGGCACAGTTCCAATCT